TTATTTTTCTATACGTCTAGAGTTTAAAATATATATATCTAGAAGAATTTTCAAGTGTGTAAAATTATTTAGACTATTTTAATTTTTACTATTCGATCTAATTTTCTAAATAAAACTCAGAAAATTTTATTTTCCAGCAAAACTGGAGAGATATTTAATTTTTGTTATAAATTTTCAAGTAAAATTTTCACGACATTTAAAAATATTTTATCTTCTAATATAGTCTCATATTTCACCTATTTTCACCTGATTAATCAAGCAAATATTAATAGATATCTTAAATGATTTCGAATATTTTTAAAAAAAATTCACGATATTCGATATCTAAATAGATAACAGACTTGTTCAATATTACTAGCAAATATCGTGAATAAATATTTAAATTATTTCCATCGTACTATAATTACAGCACATAATTAAATTCCCTAAATGATCCATTATTGCAAATATAAAATGTCACGTTATTTTGATTCTAATCATTTCCATAAAAATATGAATCTACGTAAATATTCTTATTCTAAGAACGCTTTATTATCTTCGTGTTAATTCCATTATTGAACCGTTCATTTTCGAAAGTAAAATTCGAACGAATTGAAAATACGATTGAACGCTTCTCACCTTAATCTATCTTAATAATGTGCCAGGAACTACACGTTCGCGAGCGCGCGCGCGCTCACTCGCTTACTATCGGAAGAAAAGTCGACGTATAAACTCGAAGAGCTGCAGCGGCGGGGTTACAAAACAGGATCGACAAGCGGCTTGCACGGGCGCTCATAATATTGTCATAAGGCCTACACCTGCGTGGCTACAAGCTGCAACAGAGCGGCCGTTTAAGCCACGTTCGCAAGAAGAAACGAGTCAAAGTACACCAACAGGCTTGCGACGAATGATCGCAATCTACTTTGATCTCGATCCGCTTTTCTATGGCCTCGACGCGACCTGAACACGGATCCTGACCTCAGTTAACCTGGTATCTCTGACCTCGAGGACCGTCTATGGGACGCGCTTCTTATCGATCGGTTCTCAAAATATCAGATCTCGATAACTTCTTACGTGTTAATGGAATTAAATTTTTGGATAATGAAGAAATAACGTGGAATTGAATCGGTTTTAGGAATAGGCATATACTACGTTACGGATTATTAAAGATTACGACTTTGATAAAAATTTATACGAGTATGTAAATAGAATATAATGGATTACATTTAAGTAATTTTTTTAATTTCGAAATCAAATTTTTTAAATTTCGTCTAGGAATCTTTTTTTATAGCAACGATAGAATTCTAAAACCTGAACATTTGGTAATTTAAATTTTCGATCTATCTATATTATTACATCGAAAAAAGAAAGTATAAAAATTGAATTTATTTTTTCGAAATATTATTGCTTCTCATATTCCACACAACATTTTTATTAGAAATAAAATTATTGTTGGTTTTGATGATAAAACTATTGAGAAACTGTAAAATGTAAATGAAAATTTTTATAATCGATTAGTTTTGCAGAAAAGTATCAATTTTTGAGCAGAAAAAAATTCTTTAATCTTCAACGATTTAAAAACATAACGTTATGCAATAGAAGAATAAATATTATCAATATGTAAAATCGAATTTTGTACTGAACATGAGTGCAATGTTTTCTACTAAAAGTTAGAATATTGACACTTGTGTATGTTTAGTTTTTAACTCATTAATTCTTATGTCAATATTCGTATACCCTTTTGTATATCTATCGTTTAAATTTCTTATCTTTCTGTCAAACGATTTTCAAACACAACTGGTTTGTTATTTGCTCATATATTTATTGTCGATTTATAATCCAATTTTAAAAGTTATTCTATAAAAAAACCTATTAAAATCAAATATTAAATAACATAGAAAATTTTAAATATTAATAGAATTCTGAAAAATATTTCAATGATACGATAAATAAGCTATACATAAATGAGTTTTTCTTTAAGAAAAACCTGTTAAAAAAAATTGGGAAAAATTGGATGAAAACGTTATCTGTCATGTTGAACATTAATGAAAATATATGAGGGAGAAACTGGATGAAAGAAAACCGAAATCCCTTTATTAACTATTATCAATTTTTTCTCAATAATCTAGTTTAGATCCAAAAATAGGTCACTCGAAAAATTAGTATCTTATTTTTCGAAGAATTTATGTTTTTACTTTTTCCTAAATATTTATTCCACTTTGTTACACATCAACAGATCAACACATTAAAATCTTTGAAGTTTAAGAAAAAATTAGGTTAAATGAGGTTAAAAAAAAAAAATAAAAAATAAAAGAAGAATATTTCTTAAGCGAAACTAATTATTCCACATCTAGTTTCACAATTGAACAATCCAAGACGAAGTTTCAGTCGCGTGATTCACATTCTTCAAAACAATAATACAAAACGAGCAACGTGTACGCACAACGTGCACGTCAAGAAGGAATCGTACTAGCAACAAATAAACCTTGAACTTCCCATCGCGTACACACGAAACACAATTACTCTAGTCCCTCCACAGACGAAATTAATATCCCGGCAGAAGAATTTCCATCAACTACCACACACATCCGGCCCACGTGTTCCTGCGCGGCATCGATGCCCATAACATATCAATGTAACAGAGGACTCGTACCATCGAAACGATCTCGAGAGATCGTGTTTTTCCATTTGCCCCGATCGGATTGCTCCGAGTCGTCAATAGAATTCGATATATATATAATCCGACCCGGAAATATCGATGGCCCCCTTTTGGCGTCCAGTTCGGGCTTAAAAAAGGACGAAGCGTGTACGCCGCGAGAAAGGAAGCGGAAATATTTCACCGTCCGGCCGACATTAATCTGACATTCAACATATATCTGCCTGTGACTCTCTTCTAATGGTCAAAGACATTAAGTTCCTAACTTTTTACAGTATTATCTGCCCCCTCCCTCCTAGCACAGTTTATCATCGTTCCTTGGTTCATTATCTTCCTCGGCGAGGACTCATCCCCAAAGCATACAATACCAATGAGTACGATCCCAGAGGTTCTCAATTGTTTCTCTCGTGTTTTCGTTTCTCTTTTTTATTTTTATTTTGATTTTATCTTGATCTATCTTTTTCTTTTTTTTTTTCACATTCTCCTTTCCTTTTCTTTAACACGATTGTACATGTGACACGTGACCGAGTTTTCGAGAAAATATTATTGGAACCTTGGTAAATATGGTTGGGTTACTTCGTTACTAACGGTATTTTATAGCCGTTAATAATATCCAGCCGTTTACACGGCCTGGGAAACCTAAAGGGCATGGGTCTCTGAGGCCGAAATTTCATAATTACTGACCCGGGTAGAGTGAGGCAAAGTCAAGTTTGTTGTGTTGAAGTAGTTCTATTAGTCGTAAACAGATTATTCACAGGCACAAATGAAACGATGATAACGCTATGGATAAATAATCCCCCCTCGATAGGATCGGGATAATATGTGTAATATTGTTTCTGGTTGAAATGAGATTTTCGTTTCGGTTGGCGGAAGCTCCTTTGGGGATCGGCGTGATACGGGATTTAAACGGGTAGAAAGTTGAACAATGCGAGGAATGTGTTGCGGTATTATCATATGTGATGAAAGTATGGAAGATATATGAAAAATTTCTTTGTAAATTGCTTCTTTTTACAGAAGTGAGTTTCTCTTCAATATAAGTATTCGAAAAAAAAAATAATAATAATAAATTTTAAATAATATTTCATACATTATTTCAAATAATATGTATTTCATAATTTAAACAACAACAAATTCAAATGTTTAAAATAGATATCAGATATATATATATCCATTATAATTATATAATTTTTTTCTAGCACTTTAGTTATTCTAAACCTAATTTCTCCGACTCCGATGATTGTTTTTAAATTTATGCAAAATATGAATCATTTTAGAAAATCATATTTTTATAATATCAAAATTTAAGTATCTGAATTTTTTAAATTTATTGAAAATTTTATATATTTTTACAGTATATTTCATCCAAATCGACGGATGATCAGTAATTTTATTCCAAGAAGAAATATTTGCCCAAAATTCTCAAAAATCAAATTGTACGTTTAAATTTCAAAATAATTTCGCAACGAGGAATTTTGGAAAGTGAGAAAGTGAGGACAGAGAAATCACGAAGACACTTATGTCAGTAATTTCCCATTGCCGAGTTTTATTTTCTAAATGGAATTTTTGTTAATTTGATTGAATCATATTATTATTACGACATTAAATAACTCGCGATAGAAAATATCTACTAATGAATAGTATAAGTAACAACTTGATATATCGCGGAAATAACTATCCACACACGCAATTACAAAACTGTGATCGTTTGAATGAACGATTAATTTGTTTTCCTACGAATCGATTTAAATGGCCAATACGAAACTGTCCGTGCAATATCCTACGTGTATACGTATTTTAAAAATCTTCTATCAAACATCACGAGAATATCTTCTTTCCTATGTTCGATATTAAATCGATTAAAGATATAAACACAATCGCTGTACAACCATTGAATATCATACGACTATGGTTTTAAAGTCAATTGAACAAGTCAATTCTACATTAATCATACAACCATACAGCAAACGACAACGATTAGTTTAGAATAGTACAAGTTCGTATCTTTACTATTCTTTTCGATTCTTCATTGTTTTCTTCATTGAACCAACACACACGGGTTCAATACACGTGCATTTTAAAAAAATCAATAACAAAAATCTATCTTCAAATAAGAGATCACACAGTAAGCCAAACTGATCAACTCCACCGAAATAAACAAAATTACTTAACTTTTCCAAAAGTCAGGTTAAACTGTTCATTAAGAAAAAAAAAAAAAAAAATAAATCGATCACTTTGACTTCTCTGAATATCTCGAATATCACACGTTTCAACTCAATTTCTCACCAAGAATGATACGTTCGACGCATCGCGCACGTTTGTCAAGTCAATGATGCAAAAACAAACGAATAGAAATAAATAAACTCACCATTCGAATCGGTGCTTGTCGAACCGGGCCCCTCGACACGTTTATTCGATAAGAAGAGCGTCTTATTAGGCTCGAGTCCTCGAAGCTATAGGAAAATATCGCACTGTCACAGCACCAAACAAACGTGTACCGTTCCTTTTTCGGTTTTAAGGTTAAAAGGACGTGTGTACGGTAACGCGAACAATGGTTCGATGGGTTTTCATCGCGTCGTTGCGATCGATTTCACCGGGATCATGATCCACGTTCGAAACCAGTTTCGATTCTCGTCCCGGGGAACGGATGCACTCTCGAAAAATGCGGCTCGCGTCTGCGCACAGGCTGCCTTCTGTTCGATGCAGGCGTCGAGTGGCGACTGTCGTTTCTTCCGACAGTCGGCTGCTCCTGGCCTGTCCCTTCCCCCGCCCCAACGGCGGCATCGAGAGAGAGCCGACTACAACCGCGGATTTATGCTATTACCGCACCGCTGCCACCCCCTATGCTCCAATGCGTCTCGGTCTATGGCTACCGCTTCCCGGTGGCCTCTTCTTTTCAATCGCAACACCGTGACACGATGTTTCCTTCGTCCTGTTATCGCTTCCATAGACCGATCGGAAAAGAATCGAAGAAATCGTTAAAGGAAAGACGAAGAAGAAGAAGAAGGAATTGATTTCTTTGCAACGATCAATCGTCAATTTTTATCGTGTATATAAATATACGTTTTTTTGTAATTACGTATGTTGCAAAAGAAAAAACAATATTTTATTTGATTAATTATTAAATTATTGGTTATAAGTAATAATACGTACTATGTTATAAAGTCTAGGAAGAATCTTTACAACTTGTTTATTAAAGTTAAAAAGTAATTATTATTGCATTTTTTTAAGATTACGATTATGAAATAAATTTTTTTCATTATTATTTCTCGTCTAGAAACTATTTACATCAACATTATTTCATAATGTTTCTTTTTGTATTATGATAAACTATTTTCTTTTTTGTTAAACAGATTTGTTTAAGAAATTTATAATAAGAATCTATCTAATTATTCTAATATAATTTTTGCAAAAATCGTTATTTTTATGTTTTTTTAATAATGTTTATGGAAATGTTTGCAGTAATATTTATATTTTATTAAATATTTATTTGTTTGATTTTTAATAAAATTAATATATAAAGAATATGATTAATACAAAATAATGTAAAAAAATATTTGAACTCTATGAATTTTCTTTTTTTGTTGTAAAAAAAAATTCGATAAATAATTTTTTTATTATTATGAAAAAATTGGAATAAATAATACAAATTTACGCAATTTTCAAAACCAATGTATATAATAACTATTATTTAGAAAGAAATTCTTTGTTTATATTTTATTTGATTACATCAAAATTCCATACTAATATATTATAAAATAAAAACAAAAAATTTTTTAATATATTTTTATTACTTCTTCGCGTTTTTTTTTTATATTGATAAAGTATATAACATTACTGCATCCTTGGCATCATTTATTACCTTCTTTACATCATTATAATTATTCATTATTATTCGCCTACCGTAGATAATCTCTTTTAATATGAAAGTGTACTCTTAATAGTATATACTTATTCTTACAGCTTATATTTTAACTAATGTCATATTTTATTAAAATTCTATTATTTTCTAAATCTTTTAATTAATGTTTCAAAATTCTATTATATATTTTATGCATCCATATTTATATCATCGAATCATTATTAATTTCTTTTTTCCCTTAACTATTGCTATACATAAATACTAATTCTGCTTGGTTCTCTCTCAATGGTAATTTGTATGCCATTCAATTTAATATTTATGTTAAGAAACTATGTATCACGTATTATTTATTCAAAAAAGTACAAAATTGACAAAATTGTTGGTATCTTCCGAACGTGTTAAAAACCGGTTTAAATCTGATTTTTTTTCAAATTATAGATGATTCTGATAAATGCGATTATTTATAATTATATAATTTTTTCATTTAAATATAATTGTCAATTAGAAATTTAAATAATTATAATATACATTATAGCATATTATATAGCAATATATCTTAATAATAGCAAGAAATAAAATATATAATGAAATATATTTTAGTAATTACATGTTTCGCAAAATAATAAGTTTCTTACCGTTTTAAATGTTTGAAATAATATGCGCAAATACGTATTTAAAAAGGTATTTTACATAGTATCACGTTTATAAGAACAACTTTAAATTTATTGCTTAATCTTCAACTTGAATACTCGATTTTTTCTTCTGTGCGCAAAAGGTATATTATTTGTTTAAGAAATTTTTGTTTTTTAAATTTTAAAAGGAGCAATAAAAAAAAGTTTGTTATAAACAGTATTAACATCAATTAAATCTGGGAAAGATTCATTTATCTATCACCTTTGTTTAATTCTTCTTAATATTGCCTTTGACTCTAAAACTTTGGAAAAAGAAAACCTTTCCTGGGAATCACTTGTTACACAAGGATATATTACCAAAGGTATTTCGATAAAATTTAATACCGATACTAATAAATGGTAGCAAATAAAATGCAAAGATATAATTTAATCAAGTTATTATGAATAGCTAATATACTTTATAAATAATATTGTTAAACTAATACGAGTAATTACTATTTAGAAACGTACATAATATCCCAAATTTCTTAATTTCACAATAAGATAAAAATTTTTCTAACAATTCATTCATTATTAGTTTATACCTTTCAACAAATTTCTCATATTACAATACACCTAATACAAACCGTTTTAAGTATCTGAACATTTACAACTGGACATATACATTTTTGTATACCTGCTACACCCTTTATTAATTCCTTATAATCCTCAACCGTCCACTTGCTCGCCTATTGTCTTCGCCTATTCTCCAAACTCGAGACTCGATAGCCCCAAGTACTTGCCGCTCATCTTAAGAGCCTCATCCACCTAAAACCGTTTGGTCATCCACGGAATTATCCTCCTTCCAAAATCCTTCAACTTTTTCCCTCATCGCGTCGTTGACTAACACCCGGGATGGCGGAATCCCTCGGCAAATTTGCCCGTCAGAGCACGATCTGGACATCCGTGGATGGACTTCGTTAGACTACATATATCTATTCGCTGGGTGGATGCAGGTCCGTTCCCTCGGTTGCACCCACACGAGATCGGCTCGTCCGTGCGAAAAGCGGCACGGCCGCGCGTGTGCACGCACGTGCGTGCCGTGCCACGCGATTCCAGCCCCTACGGAATAAATCAAGTGAAGAAAACCTGCCGGAAGGTATTAACGTTGGGGTCGGCTCACCCCGCGTGTTTTGTCCCCCTTCTCGCGCGGAGAGGGTTAAGCTGCTACCCCCGCCACCCTTATCGCGCGTCCCCGGAACGCCATGTACTCCCAAGGGATCTTCTCGTCTGGATTTACCCGACTGACGAGCGCGCGATCCTGCTCTGCGAGCGGCTAAAGTGGACTAGAGGAATAGAGGGACGAACGAAGAAGAAACGAAGTGGGAAATAACGGAGGGGGAGGCAGAGGGAGAGAGAGAGAGAGAATGGAAGCGTAGGATGGCCAATGTTAGAGAGAGGGAATCCCTTATCAGAGGTCGCGCATGACGAGACAAGCTAATTGTGTTATCAGTGCACAACGGACGCTGCCTCTACCTCCGCCTCATCTCGGTCCTCTGACCATCATCATCGGGCCGCCTTTCCGATGCGCCACGAGTGCGTTTATTTTGTAAACTGTGCTAACATGTGCCATGACCCATCTCGTCTGCTCTTCCGTTCGTGTGCTGAAAATTGCAGCGGTCGTGCGACAGATCGAACGACTCGCTCTCTCTCTTTCTTGTCTACTGGTTTTGGGGAATATCTTCCTGACTACCACCCTCGGTGGTGGCTTCCACTTCCGCGTGCGGAGCGTGCCGTGCGTGTAATTAACATGGCGGACATCTTGTTTAATCCTTTGGGACGATGATTTAGCTTGGCGCGTTTTTATCGAGCGGAATCACGCTCCGCGATAATTCGACGATGTGCTTGATGTTCCGTAAATATTTTGGAGTGTAATGTTAGGTGGATTTTTTTCCATTGTTTAATCGTCGGTCGTGATTCTTTTAATCGAGCGTGTTGAAGATTTATTTGAATTAATTTCATTGTGAGACAAAGATCTATTTATTACGATCTATAATCTATAAAATGTATATATAAATAATAACGTCATGAAAATAAACAGATAATTAGATCCGGTAATTAACTATAAATAAACATATTATTGGAGTGCGTTAATTTAATTCATACCACACTATAAATATAAATAGAATAGAAATCCATTTTAATCAATTTTCATTATGTTTCAAATGAATATTTCCTTGAAATGGAACTTTATAGTCTCCAAAAACGAAACCTTATCCCAAAAATTATTTTATATATTTCTAACTTATTTTTTCGCGAGTCTTGTATAAAATATCTCTTCTCGATTAACAACACTTGATAAAAGATCTCTAAAGAATCAATTGTTATTGAAAACGGAAAAAGCGTCTTGCGCAACAAATTTGATCACCTCCAGGCATTTTATTCATCCCAACTCTTCCATATCAACTTTAAAAGTGAAATTCAGTCAAGATTTCATAAACGCGCCATTAGAATCCGCGTGGTTTGAAATTTCTTAAAAGAATTGCGCCGCGTAATGCCGACTATTACCGTAACCACTGTTATAAAAGTTTACCGAACCAGTTCACTTCCTCACCATATTTCTCGTGCATTACATTCGTACGGTGTTCGTGATATACCTAGTGGTGTCTGTGGAGAGAGAGAAACGTTGAACGTTTCGTATTCGAAGGGAATTAAACCGCTCCGAGGAAAAAGGATCCGAATTATCTTCCTGGTGTACGTGTACGTAGCCTCGTGGTCGTCGCCATCGGCATCGCCGCAACGCGCAGACGGCTCCATTTATTATTCTATTAAATTCGTAGTTTCCCATCGGGGTCCCACCCCTGCCCGGAGCCATCTCTCACTCATGACTTAATGCGATATTCATACCGCGAGAGGAAAGGGAATCCAACTTGGGGTCCGGTCCATATGCTGGCATGTAATTAAGTCGGACACCCGTTAGATCTTGCCTGATTTTTCTTCTTTCCTTTTCTTTCTGCTCTTTCATTTTATTAAGTCGTGTTTCGTCGCGATAATAAACTGGCACGATAATATTTTTTTTTTCCTACTTATATTGAGAGATATTAACTCTGACAAATGTGGAAAACGTGCGATAAGGATTGTAGCATTTAATCCGAACTGGAAATATGTATATATATATATATTTATCTATGAGCGTACAGATTCGTTCAAAAGTATTTCGATATTCGTTATGTTTGCTCGAAGATTGGAAAAATATTGGATCTATCTATCACTATCGATGGATACTTTGCAAATTTTCTTATTTATA